ACAGTACCGCAGAATTGTACCAGTCATCAACAATACCTTCGAGGCCAAACAATTCTGTTCTGTAGTCTTTCTAGATGTGAGCCAGGCCTTTGATAAGGTGAAGCACAATGGGCTTTTATTGAAGATTAGATCTCTACTTCCAAGTGGTTATTATAATATTCTAGAATCTTATCTCGCCAATAGGGAATTTAAAGGACGTGTCAACACTGAAACTTCAACATCTCATCAGATTAAGGCAGGGGATACGCAAGGCAGTGTTTTCGCGCCATTTCTGTATATTCTCGTTACTAGCGATTTTTCAACTTTTCAATCAACCACAGCAGCGACCTTTGCTGATAACATAGCAGTTCTTTCAACACACGCTGATGCATCTAAGGCTTCGTTAATTTTACAAAAAAATTGGACAAAAAATGAAGAATAAATATAAATGAGTTCAAGTCTAACCATATTACGTTTACACTCAGCAAGACAACATGCCCAGGAGTGCATTTTTATGGCTAAGCAATTCCAAATACTGATTGTGCCAAATACCTAGGTAAGCATCTAGATTGCAGACTGACATGGAAGTATAATATTCGCGCAAAATTAAAAACTATAAAAATTTGAACCCCTGAACTATACTGGCTTTTGGGAAGTAAATTCTATCTATTGATAATAAACTACAGACAGATTACTAATGCTCGATGCTTTATAAGCAATAAGATCTTACACGACGATCTTCACATTGAATTTAAAAACAAATTTATAAAACTAAACAGTGTAAAACATTTTTAAAAACTAGAACATCATTCAAATTTTATAGCCACTCAGGTTCTTGAGACATCAATTTCAAAAAGACTGAAGAAGAAGCTGCCCTAAGATAATATTGTAGACTTTTAGCACTAACACAACTTTGTATATGCCCCCTGGCGCCGAAGCTGGATCCGCCACTGGTATATATGAACAGAATTGTTGAATCATTTATTGAGCTGATTCTCTTACTATTAACATAATAGGGATAAAAAAATAATTTTTGAGTTTGAGGTACATAACATCTTTAATACAATTAAAATTCAAATTATCAATCCAATAATATAAGTATTAGTAACTGGTATCGAAATTATATTCAAAACAAGTATTACCACAAAATTTTTTTTAAAAGCATAAATTGTGACAGTAGACTACAGGTCTTGTGATTGGAATAAATTACGACATAAAAATTACTATAATCGGCAATTGCTATGAATTATAATCATATACAATTATTTATTTATTCTTATAATATTTATAAAGATAATGATATTTGTCATCGCTGTATGCTAAGTATAAAAATAAATTATATAATTTAAAAACTATATATATATATATATATATATATATATATATATTAAGATAGGGCGGGGCACAAAAGTCTAATTTGATTTTGAGCAATTAAATATATTTTGAAAACCTAACCAATTATATCACCATTATCAGTGTCCTATGAGCTGTAATTTTTTTAATTTATACTACATTATATATTATTGGGATGCAACTTAATGATTGCTCTGGTTCCAAATGGTTGTTTTTACAGAGGTTGAGGTCCCCCAAGTTCGATATCCGCCTTGAGCAGCCTTATGTCAAAAAGTAGTGACAACGGTTTACCCTTGAAATTATAGGAAGCAACTTACCAGACATTGCGCCATCAATAAAATTTCACCAGTGTTACAGAAATTAAAGTAATAAAATTCATCACATAGAGATAGGACAACTATCTCTAAATCGACAGTTAAATTTTCGACCCTTAAGTTCCTGTTGTTAAAATAATATAAAAAGCGTATACAAACGATGCTTGAGATATTTCCATGGAAATAAATGCGACTGCGACGAATTTGGGATGTGAGACAAAGTATTATAGGTGTATTGAGTTACTCTATTTTGTCGGATTCGTATCCGACAATATCTAACAGAATCTAGTAGGTGGGAGGCAGAAATGTTTCAATTTATATTTAACCCTTGCACTCTGTAGTTATACGGTGCATACGGTGCAACAGCGGCGATTACGAAGTGCAATGGGTTAAACTAATTATAAAACTAAAATTAGACTTGACTTAAATATATCTGCTATTATGTAAGGAAAGATACATAGACACGATGTAAATATTAATTATGAATAGATACTATCTCTCCCTATGCGTTTATTCACTCATTATTTCTGTCGATTATAGTCGACCGTGGTAAAAACATATTAGGTTGTCAAATATCTCCCTTCCGCTTTTTTGCTCTTGGTTTATAATACAAAAAGGCGGAAGGGAGATATTTGACAACCTTATAGATTAGCAACCACTAGCTCAGCAATATCGGGTTGGCCAATTTTGTGCCAAAATCAGTAATATTTAATTCAATGAAATATTTCGCAAGATTGAAAATGAACTTTTAAGGTCTAGAATTATGCTAAAATGTAAGCGGGATCTAAACCAGATCGAATATGTCGTTTTAACCAGTTCTTTGGCATTGATAATAAAGTAACAGGCTCTGAAGTAAATTGCATAACTTTTATTAATTTAATACAGAGCGTTGTACACTGAAGAATTTAGAGGTCGTATGTTACATTAAGGATTAGATGCAGAATGATATTCGTCGAAGTTTAATTTTTTTCTTCGCATTCACTTTTACTTACGTATTACATATTTGGCCTCTTTAGTTCCTTCTTTTACATATTACATATTACGTTATTATGTATTTACTTATATTAATGTGTATTTCTTCCGAAAGCAGATGCGTGAGAAATTTTTCTTGAAATTTATCTGGTCTGGAGATTTCGATCGTCATTTGTTTTTTTGTGTTGATTTACATACTCCTGATGAAAGAATGATGAAATTTTCAACTGTGTTCACGGTTAAACAATGGAAGAAAAATTCCGTCCTTTCGTGTTTTTTTTTTAACTTTGAGAACAGGTAAAAGTTAACAGGAGCCATATCTGGTGAATATGGAGGTTTTCCTTTTAAACAAAATATTGAGTATTTTCAACAAAAAGTAATATTTTGTCTATGAATGACTTTAGATTTTAATCTAGTTTCATCTATATAAGTAATATCAATGTTGATGCATGACTATTGTATTGTTTATAGCAAAAAAATACGAACTGCAACTATGCAATAAATTTTGCTGCCACTTGTTTCATGTTCAATTTAAAACAATATTATACCATAAGCCAATTGATATGCCAACTTCTATAATTGTGATTCGGTGATAATTTTTAACCATTTTTTCTACTTCTTCCACATTTTAATCCGTTATTGATGTGCTGGGTCGACCGAAGCGTTCATCATCATCAATGTCTTTGCGACAACTCGTAAACATTTGTTTAATTTAGCAGACTCACCATAGGCTTTCTGTCTTTGTTATACTTTGTTTTATTTTTTACGCAAAATTTAATATGAATTCTTTGACACTTCAATTATTCCAACAAGCAAAAATTTCCGAGTCATAAAATGATGTCGAACCTTAGAGACTACCACAAAGTAAGCAGTGAATATAGATGAAAATTTCAATATATTTTACCAACACAACAAAAGAAAATTTTGATTTTTGGATTTCCCAGATCCAAGAAATTTAAAAATTCCAAGTCTATAATTTGATTTGAATAGTCTTTATTACTAATAATTATATATTATGTATTATTTTTTGTATGTTTTAATACTATTTATTTATAACATGACACAACATATATATGTGTGTGCAGTGGCGTCGGAACCGCGTGGGCTGCGTGTGCTTGAGCCCACCCATGAATTTTGATGGGGGGGCTCAGCCCACCCATCAATTTCAAAAAATTATATGGACTAATATCTCTAAAAAAAACGAGCCCACCGGCTGCCTATCAAAAAAAAAAAAAAACGAGCCCACCCATCAAAAATTTGGTTCCGACGCCACTGTGTGTGTGTGTGTGTAAGTTATCTGCACTACCAGCATCCTGCTATCCAGATAATGTTATTTAAAATATATAAGATAATATAAAAATAATCAACAATGCATACTCTTTATACAATGCAGCGGACCTTCAGATAATTATAAAAATAAACAGATAAAACTAATTGAGATAGAATAATAACAATCTATTTATAGTTATTCTTGTTCATTATACACCCTTACAAAAATATAAACTTAAATAGGTTTATGATTTTCTCATAATATTGTATAGAATTTGAATATTTTTAATTTAAAATTTAAGAATGCGCAAAATATGATATTTGCCATTATAATTAAAGCTTACGTAAAATAATTATATATAGATGGTGTAAATGAAAAGTACTTTTGCATTGATTCATCACAAGACAGTTAGCTAATATTCATTTATTATATATATATATATATATATATATATATATATATATATATATATATATATATATATATATATGTGTGTGTGTGTAAAAATATATATATATATATATATATATATATACATATGTACATATAATAATTGTGTTTTGATCAAGTTATGTGAAATGAGTAAATAAATAAATAATAAGTTTTATTTGAAATATTATGAAAATATATTTTTCGTACAATTAATATATTGTCTTGTGAATTATTAGCGGAAGACGTTACAATAATTTTTCATGAAATGGATGAAAAAATTATCATATATTTAGTAAAATAGTATATTTATGTATTTATTAAAAATAGAATTTCATTTGTTATTTACTACTTTGAATGTATTTTTAATACTATTATATCTTATTTATATAAGAATATTTTAGACTGTGAAAAACGTGACTCAGATATGAACATCAATTGCAAGTATTCAAATTAGGCGTTCATTAGCTGACTAGTACTCATCGAACTTGAATAAGATTAATTTTATTTGTATTCTAATATTTTCAAAAGTTGAACTTACATTCCATTTCAAAAAACATACGTAAAGTTAAATATGAGAATTGGGATCTATTAGCATCATATTAACTACGATAACTTCCTAGCAGCATAAATGAAAAAAAATCTAATTTAATATTGGAATACATAATTTTGTTTTATTCTTTTTACAACTGAAGAGTCGATAGAAAAGAATCTCGAGCAGCATCTGTGGGCATACATTGCCCAAAAGCTTCCAGAAGCAACGGTTCAGCATCAACTGCTCCTTGGAAATCATCTAATGACACCTGTGTAAATAACAAATTTAGAAAATTAATTTTTGTAATTTATTTCAAGATACTACTGCAGTAAACTGATGTGAAATGATTCGGAACTACTTGTAAAGAGGGTGACATATGCTAAATAACTTAAATATGATTTAAAATAACAAAAACTTTATGGATTCAGTAATCAGTTTTTGTAAATGAATAGTTTTTTGGAATCAGAATTACCGACTTTTAGTAGGCATTTATTATTCGATTATGTGGTTCAGTCTTGTATAAAAATTTGTCCAATTTTTCTCAAAATTAACTTATTTAATAAAAATTAGCACTTGTTCTAATCATTCAAAATGTTCCATTTTTTAATTTTCCTAAAATTGAAAATAAAAGTTTGAAATAATTAATGTGAAAAAACTATTTTACCTTTGGAATTTTGCATTCAACAATTTTCTATTTCATAATGTGTTGTTTTATATAATCATACTCGTTGTATATATTATGTTCAGATTTTTGATGAGTAGTTACGAAGAATTAAGTAATTGCAAAGAATCAAATTAAACCTATACAATCATGGACAAAAGATCCAAATCCGCTATAAATATTGCTTTTGGAAAAACCCAGGACACAAGGTGAAATTCGCGCACCTTACTAAACTGTCAAAGTCGGTAGTTTATATAATATGAAAATATGTCCAACATGTAGTTGCTATAAATTAGCAAATTCAAATAAATCACGAATAAACTAAATAGGTAACTTTATATGTTGGCTTATTTTCTTTGGATATTCGCGTCAAGTTTGAGAAAGACACGTCATTTATTGTGAGTTTGGCAGGGGTTTACTAAATTGAAAAATGAAGCGTCAAACAAAACATTTTGAGATCTTATTAGCAATAAAAAATTGAAAAATCTTCGAAATGTTTAAAAAATATTCGATGTGAAGGAATTGTCGAAAAATGTACAGTGCTTTTATTTTATCAAAATTCGTCTTTTTTACGATGGACGCATATGATCTTAAATTTTCTACTGACCCAAAATATCAACATTATTAATAGCATTTTTTAGGCATGGAGATTAAAATAGGTTGACCTATATAGAGATAGAAATAGGCTACTAAAAAGAAATTTATTAAATTAATTACATATAAATAGTATTGAAACAAATTTCTGGTGACTTATTTGGACTTATGAGCAAACCACGTGAATGAAATTATTTATGTGTAAACTTTCATTGAACGCAGTTTTTATTTTATATAGTTATATTGCTCTACTTTATAAACTAATGCTATAATGTGGTTGGTAGATGATCAAATTTAAAAGACATGAAATGCAATTGCTAAATAGTTGAAATATAAACACTTAATGATATAACAAATATGACAAGACCTTTCCATCTTTGTCCAAATCCAACTTTTTCAAAACCAATTCAACAAGGTCACGAACTCCTTCATCAGGATCCTCGTCTTGGGGCTGTTTTATTAAACAATTCCTATAATCATGATTTAGATGATTAGATTGGCAGAATTGAATATCTTTTTGAATTTTGGTACGATTTGATAACCTAAATAAAATTATAATACTTACGATTTATCATTATTATTTTCTATGGATTAGCGGGAAAGCAGAATATAATCTATAATTTCATCATTTAGTTATTAAACCATTTGACACATTTTTTTCGAGTAACTGTATTTTAATTTGTAGATAGTGATTAGTCAAAAATTTAATGTTTCTTAATTATTGATACGATACAGTAATTTCAACTTAATAAAAATAAATTTAAATTAAAATGCATATATTTTATTTCAATTTTTTTGCAAAATTCGAATAGAAAATTTGTAAGATTTTATCTGGCAAATAATTGTAGGCAAATATATAATTAAGTTATTCAAATTATAAATTTGAAGAATTTGTATTTATAAAAGTTAATCAAAGGTTAAAATGAGGTCTATTAGTTTCTTATAAAAAAAGTTAAAAACACATTATTAATTATTAAATTTTGTTGTTGTTCAAATTGTAGCATTTATTTAGTAATTGCGATGTTCCAACTATTTTGCCAATAGGCAATAATAATACGTTATTTTTTAAGAGTTTTTTTTTTCATTTTCAATATAATTGTGAAGTTTGTTTATAGTTATGATTTTCAAGTCTTATATTTTATGTAATAATGATAGATAAGTTAATTATCGCGGAACAAATTTGTATGGTCATTTTTTATGACAGGCGAAAGATTAACCTTTGGCCAAAATAAGAAGTGATTAAAATGTTACATTTATAATAGATATCTCGCTAAAATTATTTTAAAACGATATATGACATGAAATGAATTTTAGCGAAAAAGATCATTGACCAGCAGTATTTGCTGTTCAATGCGGTAAAAATTATTAACAAACTACAAAACAAACATGAAAGTAGTGGTTATACTATTGTACTTATGTATTGGGACAGCATATGTAACTTTTTATTTTACACATAACTATATAGTTATATTAACTATATTAATTAGCAACTATATTAATTAACTTTATAAACAATATAAACAAAATCAGTTTGAGTTATAACATATGCCTCTGCAAATTTTAAATTTATAGTTCAACAAAAAGTCATAATTCTTAAAAACTTGGGGCAATTGTATTATTGTTTTTGATTATGGTCTTAGGAATGCTATTCACGACGGTTTCAAAGTTTAAATGAACAAAAGTAAAATTTAGTGACAATAACCAAAAATTGGTCATAATTTCACCAAAGCTCTAGCTTGTATTTTCTAAACAGGGTGATTTTTTTGGGGCAGTTAAGGTCAATACTATCACATCGTTTTGGCTTGACGTCAAGGTCTGAGACACCCTATATATTTATATATATATATATATATATATATATATATATATATATATAGCATATAACCAACGCCGTCTATCGCGCAAAACGAAACAAACTTTTTACTCTACCCAATATATATATTATATTATATTAAATATATATAATACTGAAAGAAATTGGTCAAGTAGTTCAAAAGTTATTTGTATTTGAAAATAGAGAAAAATGATGAAAAAATTCGCTATATTTTGCAATATTTTTATGATAAAGGTAAGATCGCTGCGCAGGCTTGTGAAAAAAAATATGCTGTATAAGATGAAGGTACTCTATCAAAATCTGCTGCTCGAAAATGGTTCGATCGCTTTCGTTCTGGTAATTTTGATGTGAAAGATGTGCCACGCTCCGCTCGTCGAATCAGTAAAAAAGTTGATGAAATTCTTACAAAAGTAGAGCAAAATAAGTAAATCAATACTATCGATATTGGGACGAAACTAGCCATTGACCAGAAAGCTAATTACATAAAGCTACATAGCTACAAAAGGAAGCTTCATGAGTTGGGCGCAACGCACTGCTGAAATGCAATGGAATCTAACTAATTCTGTAACATTTCATAACAGGTGATGAAAAGTACATTACCTACTGCAATCGGAGGCAAATTAAATCATAGTTAGGTGATGATGAGCGACGACAAATGTTTACAAGTAGAGAATGACATTGAAGAAGGCGATGTTGTATTTGATTGGAAGGTAATTGTCAATCGTGAACTACTTCTAATTCTAATTGGTCAGACGAATAATTATCAACCCTACTGTAAATATCTAAAGAGATTACGCCAGATAATTGAAAGAAAGCGGTCTGAATTAAGGATATTGTCTTTCATCATGACAAAGCCTGGCCATATACTTTTTTGATGATCTGCCAAAAGTTGCGAAAGCTTAGTTGAAATTTGTTTTACATTCACTGCATATTCCAGGCATAACTATCTTAATAGAATTAAATTGATTTCAAGAAGAGCTTATAGAAAGCACTTAGTTCAGTTTTTCAACCAGGAACCATAGAAGTTCTTCATCGATGGCATCATGGCTCTACTTGAAAAATACCAAAACATTGTTGATATTAATGGAGCTGATTTAGTTTGAATAAATTTGTTTTCACCATATAAAAAACTTGTTGTGTTTCAGTAAATAAACGAAACGAACTTTTTACTTGATATATATATATATATATATATATATATATATATATATATATACAAACCATGTACGGAACGTAATTTGTAAATTACGATTTTTTGCAAACTGATGAGTATTCAATATTAATTATTTTGACCAGTTAAAATATTTTAAGTTGAATCTATACAAAAATATCAATTTAAATCATTACGACTCACTTGAGAAGCTGGAACATTTCATCTCGCATGATGTAACCGTCCGCGTTCAGGTCGTACACGCGGAAGCAGAACGCGGCTCGTTCTGGCCGCGAACCCCGCAACACGGTGGACAACCCGACCAGCCAGGGCTCTAGACGGAGCGTTCCTTCGCCAGCGCTATCCCACGCACAAAATATTCGTTCGGTTAGTGAGTCTTCTGCCACTAAATCAAATGTACTGTGCAAAACTTCCCGGAATAGAGTTCTATCTATACCCTGTGCGCATAAATAAAATTTATTTTCATCTTTATCATTTCATGAACTAGTTTAGAATCTAACCTCAATTGTTGGAGCAGGTTTAGCTAGAGCGCCCCCAGCAGCAGCCATCGCCGAAACCTTTACAGCCATTTTATTATTTGCTACCAGTCTCCTGTATATTTTACACAATGCTTCTAATTCGGGTCTATAAAAATACATTTTGATGTATAACTGAAAAACTGAAAATGATAGTAACAGAGTATAGAAATAATTGTTACTTATTGTTAGTACTACTGAATGTGTGTTTATATAATATTTAGTTCTAGGAAGACTGTCAATTGAAGCACTTGGTAGGCTTTTATAAATTGCAACCTTTGCTGAAGATTTCAAGCGCTTTAAATTTTTATTTTATTTATACATATTGTGGATTTTCAATTAGTTTAACTAATTCCTGAAGAAGGAGACAAGCCGGATTGCAAATTAATTTTATTGCTTTCACTTTTATTCGAACTTCAATTTCCTCAATATAACTGGTTTTGGTAACATTTCCTGTCGCAGGTCAACTAAGTTGAAATAAATAATGAATAAAAATATGCTCAATTATATAAGCAACTTTATATCAGGATTTTTCAGATATTAAAGTTGCCAAACAAAACGGTATGATTTTTTTTTTTTTAATTTTCCATTTGCTTATTTTTAATTTGAATTCATGATATTATACTGTCTTTTATTTTGTATTATATTTTATTGATAATAATAATATTTTTATTTTGTATATTATTTCTAATTTTCATCTAATGTTACTTGATGTTTATCAGTTGTAACTGATATTGAAATTTAAAAAAAAATTTATACTATTAAATATTAATCATTGCATATTATTTAATATTTAATAATATTTTAGAATGTCCGTTTATACCATGAACTCTATCACTATGCAAAGTTCCATTTATATATCACCTCAAATAAAAAATCAATTATTAATCGTCCCAATCGTCAAAAAAAAATGATAACGACGAAATTTCTCGGCCAATCTTTACCAAAAATTAATCAATACGATTCTCAACAGATATCTTTCGAACAGTTTTGATTTTTCAAAACCAGTTTAAGATTTTTGATGCAAAGATTGGCGATAAATTTTGCACTTTACAGTTAATTTTAAAGAAACGGCTCGACAAAACTAATGAACTCGAATTGTTTGGGTTTTATGATTTAACCGGCAGCTGTTTTTTTTTAGAAAATGACACTTAATTAATAATAATAATTAATTAATTTATAAAATAGCAAAACTAAAACTAAATATGAATAACAATGTTGGGTTAAGAATAAAACGAGATTTATGGGTCGCTATTCAGCTATGAATATCTCTTACTTTATATTTTAAAGGAAGTAATAAATTATTATTACAAAAGAAAATTTAACTTCGCTCCAATTTACGAATTAATGAACCAATTTCATTTAATAATCATTACCTTACATAGAATGCAATAATGAAAGCTGAGATTCCATAAATAGCACGAAACTTTAATATATTAATAATCCCATGCCTCTGCGAAAAGAACGGCTGATCGTGTATTGAAATAGGGGCTATGGTGAGGACGAGGAACGTTAAGGAAAAAGTTTGACAGGCGAGCAAGTAATGAATTCGTGCAAGTCCGTCCCGGTCGCTTTGCACCGCGTGCTGCCCACATGGATGAGACTGGTGTGAGGTAATGATTGTGCGACTGGAAATCGCAACGGAAATCGAGGAAGCATTTCTGTATAGTAGGCAAACCGATTAACTGCGCTAGTTATTAACTTCCCGTAAGGTAAGTTATAGTAATTGCAAAAAAATGGAAAATGAAAATTTTTGCATATCTTCACGTTTTGAAGGTTTCTGAACATTTTGGCATACCTAAGAAAAAATTGATGTGTGTGTATTTTTGGATACAAATTTTTGTCTACGATTTTCGGCGCACAAATCGACCGATTTGAATGATTCAAAAAAACAATTTGGCAAAAAGTGCCAAAAACGGTTCTTCAATTTTTGAGAAAACGGTGACCCGATTTAAATAATTCAATAAACATGTTACTTGTATTAACGAAATGAAGAATTGATTTTTGGTAAAGCATGTTCGCGCGGTCAAAAATGATCATTAGACATATGCACACCAAATTATCAGATATTTGATAAAATTTTCAAAAATGGGTCTAATTTTGTTACAATTTTGTTGGGTTCCGTACCAAGATCGTTTTTAAAGTTTACTTATACAGTTCAAGCAAATTTCAAAATTTTCAGAATTTTTTTTTTCAAAATTTTCAAAAATATACAAAGTTTTATACTTCAAATATGATTTTTAAATTTACAAACCAGTTTGAAAATGTAGATATTTCATATGCGTTATTCTAATCGTCCACAGATGGATAATATCCCCAGATGGATTTATTCGGCATTTATTCGCCATTAGCATTGCTAATGTAAACTTGCTCAAGTTTTTTGAGCGAGGTCGTCACTGTACATTTTATGAAAGATAAAATATATAGTGATTATAATTATCAATTTGAAAATGTTTAAATCAATTGTTATTAATCATTGATCAATACTTATTGATTACTGATTTTTCCTCGAATATTTGATTCTAGTACGGGAAGTTCCAGCCATTTGCCTTAAGGCACGATGCCATGCACCACTAGTTTTACTTTAGTTCGAAACGTATCGAGGTTAGTTAATCTAAGGTATCAATCTAACAATAAGATTATTTTTTACTTAAATGTCATACCAATATTTGTCTAATAGCTATGCTTTTTTATCGGTATTCAAACTATTGTGAATAATTAATTTCTCATGTCTGTAACAAAAGTTGTAATTTATAACTCACTTCAAAGTTAATTTGAGTCATTAATTGAGTGATTACAGGTATAATTATTTCAAATATGTAGTGTAGAAAATAATGAATAGAAAAGAATCGTCAAAATAAACTACTATTAACTGTCTTACGATAACATTTATACTTGTTTATCTATGAAAAACATATTATAACTGAAAACGTTGCTTTGAGGTTTTGTGCATCATGTAAAGATATTTTTTTGCATCTACTATTGCATGAGAGTATTGAAATTTAAAAAATGTTTACCTTAGCTTTTGGAGGAGAAAAGTTTTTGAAGTAACATTATAGTAGGCACAAGAAATTGCTGGCTGCTTTTACTTAATCACTTTAACCTGGAATATTTCGGATTCTGAAGCGCCTTATTGATGGTATTTTTGTATGGTTTACCATGCCTAACTATGTCACAGTTTTCTGAGTTCTAAACTAAGAGCAAGTTCATAATGACACAGATTATGATGGTTTGACACTTGTATATTTGTTGTTTTGCAGTATGTATTTTAAAAAAAATTTGTTCAAAATTGACAAGCATCCTAGAACGTTATTGCGTTTAAATCTATTAGTTGGCAAACATCAACCTCAACTCATTAGCTTTAATGGCAATAATACCATCAATTGATTAAGTAAGATTAGTTGTAGAAAAAATTGGTTTCGGATGAATAACATTTTAAAATGTAAAATATTTTTGGCCCATGGGGGGATCGAACCCGCGACCTTCGCGTTATTAGCACGACGCTCTAACCAACTGAGCTAATGGGCCGTTGCTTGCGGCATGTTATCATTTGAACTGAGTGAATGCAACAATAATTGCACCCAAACGGCTAAATATAGAAAACAATCACGATTTTATACAAATAACTCTGACTATAATGAAGCGATTAGTTTTTAGCTAACAATTCTTTTTAATTCTCTATGCATAATAAAAACGCATTGCCTCAAGGTGTAAAAATATTAGGATTTATAACAATTATATTTTTTAAATCGGTAAATAATAATCTCCACAAAGAAATATTAAAACTGTTTTCGACATTTTGTTTCTTCGAAAATTGTAGTAAATTTTCTATACGTAAAACTACTAAAGTTTGAAGCAAAAATTAATAATAACCAATATCAAATTAGCGAAATAAGATTTATTGATATCAAACATATCTGAATATATACAGGTTTTCCAAGACGTCAAGCCAAAACGGAGGAATAGGTTTGACCTCAACTGTCCTGAAAAATATTAGAAAAAAATGTCGCGTTGTTTAGAATTATGAGCTTTTAAGTGCAACCTAGAACTTTGGTGACATCATAACTATTTTTCGGTTAACCATTGAGGTTAACTTTTATTAATTTTGTTTATTTAAACATTTGAGCCGGAACTGTGAATAACATTTCTAGTTTGCGCTCTTCAAAATCTTCTTTTAAATGTATCAGCAGTTACTGTTAATTAATTAAAAAATATCATCAAAATGATTCATAATTGTGTGTGAATAAAAATCCAGATCTATTTTAAATATATAAATACAGATTTATTTCAATTGATACCCGGTATTTTTAAAGCTCAATTACATGAGATTGTCTACCGCCAGCTAGTAGTCCAACGGATAGTCATGCTGTCAAATTCGATTGTCAGAACGACAGTTTTGGCGTGTAATCTAACTTTGCACATAAAATGGAAACATTTCAAATGTGGTACAATAGCGTAGTTTCAATAACGAAAACATGCAATACATTATTAAAGTTTTTCGGACATGTCAGTTTATGACAAATCGAAATATCGCCTTACACTCATGTTAGAAAGACTTTTGCTATGTATAGGACATATATATGTAAATAATTTTAATTGTGAATCAGCATGAATTGTAAAAGTTGAAATAAAAAGTTATTGCCATACTTTTCGATATATATATATATATATATATATATATATATATATACATATATATGAGCAGTGCCGGCTTTAGGGTAGGGCGAGTTGGGCGACCGCCTTGGGCGCCGGCAAAAAGGGGCCCCTCGGCTTGTGCTCATAGTTCGAGGTCTGCTTAGTCGTAAATTCCCTAAATTAAGCGGTTTTCTGTCTATTGTTAAAACACATTGTCTATCTCCTTTTAACGTTTTGGTTAAAAAAGCTAGCGTTATTGTAGCGAAGCGTAACAAACTCAGCTCATTCACTTGGCCAGTCACTCGAAATGGCAAAATCATTGATCACATAATTACTAGTGGCCCAGTGCAAACTCACATTGATAATTATCCGAAGAATGATACAGGCCGACATTTCTCTAATTCTCATTTCACAAAAATTCTTGCAAACAATGAAACAATTCTGCGCCTTTGGTTAATTTACTCCGTTTCTAAGGATCGAGTTTATTGCTTTTGTTGTAGACTATTTGATAGTAGCTCAACGTCGAACTTAGTATCTGAAGGGTATAACAACTGGAAATACTTGTCTGAAATATTAAAAAATCATGAAAATAGCACTTTTCATAAGAAGTTTTACCTTTCATGGATTGAAGCTGAACTACGATTAAAAATAGGGAAAACAAAAGACTGCCAAAAGCAACACTTGATTAGAAAGGAAACTACAAGATGGAATAATGTTTTATCTAGATTGATGCATATCACACTTTATTTAGCCGAAAACAATATGGCGTTCAGAGGCACTTCTGACAAACTATATACGCCAAATAACGGAAAGTTCTTAGGCTTAGTACAACTACTAGCCAAATTTGATCTAGTCATGCAGGAGCACTTGCGATTAGCTATGAAGGGTGATATTTCAGACCAATCAGCTTCTGTTCATCGATGGAAATTTCTAACCGATCACTTGGGACTATATACTATAAAAAAGCACAGTGACACTCATTGGGAAGCAAGAATAAGTAGCGTCAAATCAGTCCGTTATCAAATTAGTACTATCCATGATGCTTTGATTACTTTGGCTCGTGAAACTCAGAAAACTGATGTTCAAGTGCCTCATGAGGCTACTACACTAGCCGAACAACTGAAAGATTTCTGCTTCACAGTTTCATTGGTTGTTTGGTATGACATACTTCGTCAAATAAATCTTGTAAGTAAATCTGTACAGTCAACAGATATGGATCTTGGTAAATGTACACAAATGTTGAAAAAATGCTGCAATTTTTTGGAAGACTACAGAAATACGGGCTTTAAAAGCGCTATTTTAACTGCGAAGGAGTTGGCCGAAGAACTAGAAATTGAACCTGAATTTCAAGCTACAACAAGAATTTGTCGTATTAAGCGTCAAGCTGGTGAAATTGCACGCGATGACCCTATAACTTCTCCAGAAAAAAAATTTTCAACTGTCTTTTGGACACTATATAAATTTCAATCAATAAAAGGTTCGAACAGTTAAATGAGTACTCGGAATCTTGGTCTTTTTTGTACAATATTAAACAGATTCCAGAACAATGCGACCTTCTCAAGCTCTGTAGTGATCTCCAATTAAAATTAACTGTAGACTCTAAATCAGACATAGATGGTTGTATGTTGTGTGATGAACTTATAAGTCTGGCATCCTTTTTACCTGATAAAAATGTGGTTACTTCCATTTTTGTATTAAATTTCATCAACGATTTCAACTTACAAGAATTGTATCCAAATGTATGGATATCATTGCGAATTTTATTAACTATACCTGTAACGGTTGCTAGTGGGGAGCGGAGCTTTTCAAAGCTGAAGCTGATAAAAACCTATTTTTGATCAGCGATTTTTTATAGCAAAAACCTTTCTTTTTCTCGAAGCCTGATGAGGGATGGTTACCATATATTATTTGTTCGCTTTGGGCTGTCCCAGAAAGGTCCAAATCATTTGTGAACTGTCTTCTTTAAAATTAATATAACATTATGTCCCTATCTTATATATCAATTTGTCTCTATATTATATGGACAAATTTTTTTTGTGATTAGTCTTATTTTTGCTTAATAAATATTTTTATTATAGTTATAATACTATTAAATTTAAATCTGTTATGGGTAGTCAATGAAACTATGATAAGTAAAAACGATTGATACTGATTATAATATTGGTAGAAAGATATGAATCATTGAAAAACCAAACACCATGATAGTTTGTCTGTACTTTTCCTGCTTACAGTTGTGTATAATGTACATAGTTACATGTATACGGACACAACTAAATGGCACTAAACTTGCACATCTATAATAACTCACAAACTTAAAATATTACAAAATCATACCGTTTTTGACAGCTAAATTAAATGAAACCTCGTTACTTTTATAAATTATTTGATTTTTTTCGATGTAATTTCTTTGAAGATTTACATACATAGTGTTGACTTGCGTTCATTAACCAAACACTTCATCTAACTAATACTACGTTCAAATTTTAATTAAAGGAAAGACACGATATCACATACTTGGTAAAATGTGTCTTCTTTTTTAGCGTCTCAATGAGTTTGGGATTCGTCTTACCGCCGGCGATCTCTTCCATGCTAACGCGCCGCGTGGACTTCCGAGCGCGGCGGACGACATCGCCTCGTTTACCTTTATTCTTGGCGCGCGCTTGCTCCGAAGAGCTGCCCTCTCCGGTGCCATTGCTTCGCGTTGCGCGTTTCCCTATTGAGGGATCTCGGATTAATGGACCGATTCTGCCGTAAAATAGACCAATGTTACGTAGCATTTTTCATATGAAGTGGTACAAAAACAGTCAGCTGCAGTCAGGCGTTTTAAATAGAAAACCTAACCAGGAAAATGCACAAATGCCAAACAACAATGTTATCATGAATGAATCTTTGTGATGTGGCTAACATATGAGTGAAACTGCTTTTTATTTTTTATCTTATTAGAATTTCCGTACCATTGTCAGTATTTAGTGCCAGCGCTACGTAACATGACCTTGCCATAACATTGGTCTATTTTACGGCAGAGTCGGCCCGTAAGACTCTAAACTATTTATTTAAGGATTAATTTTTTTGTGTATTAAAAAACTGTTTTCTTCACAAAGTTTGTTGGCATATATGTACATATATGAACAATTGTACGTGAATATCATAAAACTTTATCAGATTTCATATATATCATATGTACTATATAAATAAATATCTCTAAAAAATCCATTGAAAGTTATAAAACTTGTAATCCAGTGAGAAATGTGAACGTATGAATATGTTTACAACTAGTATTTGACCGTTTTCAAAATTTGTAATTACACTTTACTTGATTTACCTCCGACAATGAAAAGTGATACACTGCGAACGATGGCCCTCGGCAGGGAAGAGCGCACCGTTTTTGGACGCTCCGCATCTTTAGATGGTGATCCATCTATGCGGACTTTTTGTGAATCTTGGCCATTGCCGATTTTGCTGTTTTTGTCGTTGTTTCTTATTGAGACCAAAGATCCGATCAATTGTCCCCAGGCATCCATTTCCAATTTCCATTCACTTAGAAATTTATAAATACATTACTTTTACTATAAAACGAATTTTTTATGATTATGATTATTTGTGAAATGCCTAAAAGATGTGATTGTATGGTTTTAATGTTCTCATGCAGTAGTGATATAGATTTTTACTTGAAAATATTTTTTTGAAAAGAATTTATGTTTTTTTAACTTTCCGTAGGGTAAGTTATAGTAACCGTCCAAAAATTTAAAATGAAAATTTTTGCATATCATTAGCATTAGTTTGTGTTTTGTGTGGATACAATTTTTCGTTCACGATTTCGGGCGCGCGGATCAACCCAAATCGGTTAAATTATTTAAAAAACATTTGATTCCTATTGATAGGGAGATGTGCTGATTAGTTTTTGGCAAAGACATGTCCACCCGTTTCAAAGTTTAAGAGCATAAAGTGCCTATATTAAAATTTAAAAAAAAAACGATGCATCTGGCTCGAAGGATTCGAAAATCAAATTAGATCTAGAAAAAATAATAAAAAAATCAAATTCTTCAAAAAATCTAATTTTTGCAAAAATTTCAAAGTTTTAAAAAAAATTTAAAGCTATTTTAAAATTTTAGTTTTGGTACGGAAAGTTAAGGCAATTTGCCTCAAGACACGATGCCATGCACTACTAGTTACTTTGATATGTAAATATTTAAAAGAATTCATCATTTATGGTATCGGATCGCCCTCTTATTGTGGGTAACGTAGCTCAGGCGTCGTGGTCATACAGTTAGTGAAAGAGATAGTGCAAGCACCAGCGCGAGCAAAAAGCTCAAATTACCAAATTCGATAATATTTACGCGTGACTTTTTAAATGAAATTAAATATCAAATCTACTATCTACTTTATTATTAAGTTATATAATTTGGCAAATATCTGTTTTTATTTATCTTGTGATCTATTTAAATATTTATTCGAAATCTCATCTAATAATGATTAAATGAATAAACATTCATTATTGCTTTATAAAGTATGTTTTCTTCTAAAGAATGTTTGATCAATAGTAACGATTGCAAGACCTCTATTTCCTCGAATAGGTAGTGCACAAAGTAGTTTGCAGACAAAAGTATATATGTATGTATGCTTGTATATATTTTAAGAATATAAATGTATATGTATGGATATAAATATATATGTAGGAGGACGAAAAAGTATGCGTGTATTTGTATGATTAATATGCTAATATTATATACTATCGTGCATCATCCAGATACGCATTTTTCTTTCATGTCCCAGTCACAAAAAAGACAACAATGACTAGGAAAAACACGCAAACAATCGAATATATTCATTACAGATATCATTAGAGTATCGTATATAGCGTGCTTACCTTTACGACGTTATGCAATATATTATATAGAATGAGTTCATGCAATGATACGGCATTGCATGCGCATTCCTTGCGCCCCTTTGGTGCACGCAACACTTTATAGCGACCGTTGTATACGCACAGCTGTCTTTGTTTACAACCAACTAACAAGGTTAAATAACAAAAACTATAAAACTTAAGTTTAACGGTTTGGCTCGCGCCGAACGGGAAATTTGCACCCACTGAATCCTGATGAACTGTTTGGCTCGGTTTAAAATTAGCATCGAGGTGTTGCCATAGAGAGCGAGAACTTTGCAATCGAGGGTGACACCGTCATCGGTTTCGACAACAGGTGTCACAAGAGATTGTCATTTTATTTTTCAATCCTTTTAGATAAGTGCTTAGATAAATACTTGTTATTTCTATAGCTCATATTTTAATTAATGATATTAATATTATAATTTTTTTGCAGTTTTTTGATAAAAATCAAAGTTTAGTCAGTATTTTTATACAAATTATACGCTTTCTTACTGTGTGATACTCAAATTTTGATGAATGTTAAACTACCAAGGTCACGTTAAAGCAAATCTAAAACATTTAATTGGTGTTTGAAAATTAATAACATGATAATCTTTATCATTCAATATATTATTACTTATATGTTTTTTGATTTTGTCAAGAAGCAAACAAGCGCAAAGATATTTGTATAATAAATATATTATCTAAATATGGAATAGGGGACACTGGGTACAGTTGTGCCAATAATTTTGTTAATTTACCAATTACTTCGGAGAAATGTGATTTAAAAGGTAATATGTACGTTTGTCTATGTGTAAAGATTGAAATACTGCCTTTATTTAACGAGGGATTAGTCAATCCAAACAGACAAGAAAATGATGAGTGACACAACAGTCCACACCTCCAGAACGGTTGTGACAGGCATAAAAATCGGCAATCTATCTCTACACAAGTAACAGTTATTTTTAAAATAAATCGAACTAAGAAACTTTTTTTACTTTAAAAGCAATGCGGTAGATAGAGATGTTAATGTAGGGCGAGAACATGTTCAAACAAACGTACTACATCTTTCTCTCTTTGGACCCCATGTCAAAATCAGTATAGTTTTGCTGTTATGGTGATCGTACTCTGACCCAACCGTACACAGACTTTACTACTACAAAATTTTATTTTGATATCCACGAGAAATTTTTTAATAATTATTATAATATTCACAAGAAAATGATTAAATATGATTTTAGTACCACGTATCTTGATAGAGGATGTCACTAAAATATTCGATGATATCACACAAGTAAGGAGTGTATTTTTTATCGTAATTAATTATATTCAAGACTTGCTCTAGAGAATGTCGAAGTTACAAGATAACGCAATATGAATTCAATATCCAGAAATCTAAAATGTTCATATTTGAAAAGAAATAATTTCCTTACGGATTCAATTTGGAAACAAGATAAACAGTAGAACGTCAAATACTTTAGGAGAATTTTAACCAAGAAAAAGAAAACTATGCTAACATGCATATTGAATCCAGACTTAGAAAATTAAATGAATGCTACATCTATAATATTACTCTGTTAGATCAGATTGAAGCAGATTGAAAAAAAGCTGACCAAAATTATATTGATAGTTTATAAATAGGATACTGAAAAAATGAATATGCCCCTACGAAGTTCTGTTTGAGGAAGTGCCAGCTATCAAAGAGAAATGAAAAAGATGAAACTCTATTTTGGCGTACAATTGAATCTTGAAGATAAAACTCGATTGGGCTTATAATTTTAAATATAATAAAAATCGTATTTAGCTTTGTCACAAACTATCAATGTTTAAAGTCAATTAACTGTTGTGTTCAGAAAGTAAAATAAAAAATTGCAAAAGCATTGTTTAATATTTTTAGAGAAAAAAAAAACTGTAGCTATTTGCTTCTAATATTATTAATTTCAAAATACGAAAACAGAATCTCCTGCGTATTACTGGTATGATACGAATCTTTGTAAATATCTGTTTTTGCTAATCATGCATATAAACATTTTATTTAAAAATAATATACCTATAAGCTATAAAGACAAGTATATCAAAATAAGCATTGATCAAAATTGATGAGTATCTAATAACTATAATCATGAATATAAATGTATTTTATGTGAAATGCTGTCTATGACAAAAATATGAATATATACGAATTTTATATTTAATCGATATCTTTATTGTAGAAGAATATAAATGTAATATATTTAATATTGTACATGTAGATATATTTTACTTGTGTATGAATCTTTTCTTTTACAAACACTTGAAAATTTATGTTGTTCTACTAGCTATTATCTATAGTCCAAGGTTTACACAGTATCAGTTATCTTATATTTTTTATTTATAATTAGTCTTTTTATTAAAAAACTAAAAACGTAAATATTTCAATTAAGTAATATATCAAAATACTCCATGATAACTAAATGAAAATATGACGTTTGATTGGTATTTTCGAAGTTTAAATTTTAAATTATTTTCGGAGATATAGCTGTTTGACCCATGATACTCCACAGTTTCCTTCTTTCCTGTTAAAGAAACGCGTTTTTTTCGAAACTGTGTTATTTGATACGATGCCTACGACTTCTCAATTTTTACTGGACTGATTTACTTGAAATTTTTACTGAGTTTTATTTTACAGACTTCTATTTAAAATGCACTAAGCTAATCGCCAAATTTCGATTTTTACTGTTCGAGAAATCGAGATTTTCAAGAAAACTATTAAAATTTTGTTTTCAGACAGTCCCTGTTTTGTGACAAAAATTTTTTTTGACTTGTTCGTAGCTGACATTATTCAAAATAAAAATATATAAATATTTTTTCTTCAGATTATTCGGCGGGCTAAAATCTTGGGTATGGTTAGGTGTAAATTTTTTTAAACTCTCCACTTAATCATTAGAACTTTATAACTATTTTGAATTTTAATCTTGTTTTATATTCACAAAACATTAATTAATACCAAAAATATAGTAAAAATATGGTTGTCCTTTTATTGTGGTCTTTCAAAAATCGAATAAATTGCATGCCTCTAGACCAGAAAACTCCGTTAAGAAAAATGAATTGTATAATCCAAAATCTAAAATTTAAATTAATAAAGTTTTATCTACATGATATAAAAAAATATAAATCGCAATATGAAGGAAAAGATCAAGTTTAATCTCAATGGAATTTTAAAAAAGCTTATTGATTTTACAAGTGAATTTTAAAGTACATAATTATTCAAGTAAGTTGCCCATGTGTTTATATTCTACGCGTATTAAATAGTTTAATTTGATTAAATTGTTCTGTTTTCGTGACATAAATCTTATAGAACATGATATTGAGTTTTTAGAAATCTATTGTTATTTGGTTTTAAACTTTCCCCAATATCACATATTGCTTTTGGCCGGTTTGCGTCAAAATTTTAGAGTGCATCTTCGGCGTCAAAATTACTTCATACAAAGTAATAAAGCATAATACGGCGATGGAGATATGAAAATACAAAAAAATCATTTTTACTGCAAGTTAAGTTAGACGCTCTGCATTATATTTTTTAATATAAATATAATAATAATTTATCTATGAAAACATTAATCATTATTCTTAGAATATTTCTATTGCATAAATATGTAAAGTCATGAAAGCATTCTT